CGATGTAGTTAGGTGTCTAGTTTAAAATAAAACAAACCCGAACTCTCCAGCTTGAAGTATATTAAAAAATCTTGGGACGCCGTTCAGGGTCCTTTTTGGACCTTGATCTCTGGAAAACTCCTAAACCAATAGACTTGGAGACAAAAAAATGTTTTCAATCCCGTAACTCATTGTGCCGAACATTTATGGAAAGTTTCGTCAAGATCGGATGTACAGTGCCGGAGATAATTTCTGAGGGAGGGGGGCATTAAGATGTGCATGAATGGTGCATGAAAAGTAAATGAATTTAACAATATCTTACCGGCGGCTCCATACCCCATAGTTTGTGATGATATTGCCAATAGAAGACCCCATATAAATTTAGTTTCCATTTTTAAATAAACATGTTTGATAACAATAATATCAATTGCAGTTATAGTTCTACTTGCAATAACTATCATTATATAGATAATAGCATGCTCTTTTATCGTAAAGCAGCCAGGATTTAAAGAAAAGTTCCAATTAAATATTATAAATTTTTTTTTAGGTAAACACCACGCAAGAAATTTACCTAGTGGATAAGCTAACAATAATAGAACATACTGTGGTATAGTATATTGTATTGTACGATAAGAATAAAATTGATTAACAGATGTTATTAGTATGGTGAATAAAATACCAATAAAATAACTACGAAATGTTGAACAAAACATTTCGAAATCATCCTTATTCGACACAATACCAGCTACTTCCTCATAAGAAACTAATTACGATACAAACGATAAATTCAAAATGAAGAAATCTACGAAGAAATCACCGCAACTCACCATATCTAGGTATGCAACGGTAGCGGTAAAGCCGGTAACGGTACTACCGCTACCGTTCTACCGGTCACCGTAGGTAACCTTTTCCGGATAAAACCTATTGTAAAAAATCACACAGTTGCAAATGTAACTTAACTTAGTCTTCAATAACTCATAGACACATGAAAGAATCAAAATTTGTGAATCTTAGTAAGCCGAAATTAGATTTTGCGAGTTGTTCAGGTTTCATCCACTGTTTATGTAAAAACAAAATTAAACAAAACGATAAAAACCATTATTTCTTCTTCTTATTTGAGACTGCGTAAGCCGATAAAATGCAGAGAAAAATAAAACGTAGAATAAAGCATCAAAATCTGTTACAATAACGACATCGTCATATGCTCTACAGAATTTTACTCTCTCTAGAATCGATACTATCTGTCCGCAATGAACGATAAAACCTGTGGATCGATAACGGCAGTAGAACAGTAGCGGTAGCACCAGTAGAACGGTAGCGGTAGTAACGGTAGAACGGTAACGGTAGTACCGGTTACGGTAAACCGGTAAACTACCGCTACCGTTGCATGCCTAACTATATCCACTAGCAGATCCAGTTCAACGCTACGGGTGCTCTCTCATACCGTTGGAGCAAAAAAGTAATTTTTGCCGAGTAAAACTGTTTAAAAAAAATTGTTTTCTGTAGCTACCGCACGTATCTCATATTTTCCTTACCTAGCGGTAAGGAAAATTTAGAAACCATCACTGACCCTATCATATAGGGTAGGAGATAGAGAGAGAGAATAAGGAATTCAACTCCGCTGAATGAAAATGATCCCTCTCTTGACATTACTCCTGTTGATGTACAGAATCGATAAATCATATCCCTCATAACTTTCGTTGCTCAATGAGCGACACTAATATCAATTAAATTTTTCAGTTCAAGCAAACAAGACGCTGTGCCATTTTCTGTCAAGATTTTTCGTTTTTGTCAAGAACCACAGTAGCTAAAAGCTTGATTCTGTTACACCGGTTTGTCTTTATATCCCGACTACACCTGCAATACTAAAATTGTCCCTGTCGCCAAAACCAAATTTTTTTTTGCATGAATCAAGCAAAAAACGATGCAAGAACATAAGTAATATACCGTAATAGGTTTTGACAAAGGTGAAATGATCTGCATATTATATGAAAACTGTAATCCACCTTTTTACAAAATTTTGTACGCAAGTCACTCTTTTTTGCGTTACTTTAATATTTAACACAGAAAATTTCTGGTTCATTCATATGTGACATATAGTTATCATGCTAGCTAGATACATCTACCTATACGAGGAAAAGAAAATATTTTTCGTTCTTTCCGGAAATAAAACTTGTTTACGCATTCACGATACAGGTAAAAAGAATACACGCCTACAATGAATCGGATCTAAATGATGTTAACGAGTTCGAATTCGCCAGTTAGAAACATTAGCTGATCAAATGGCCACTACTAAACCAGATATAAAAAACGAAAATCAAATACAACAACATTTTCATTCTTTTCACATTTTTACCAAGTTCAACGTTGCATTTTGAGTCTCGAGCTAAATTTCTTCTTCTCTATATATATCTGATTAATTACTTTTAGATATATGATGCCACAATGGGCAACCACACCATATTTAGGTGAAAACACGAAAGTCGATAGGCGATACACTCAGTTTTCCCTCTTTCATATGTCGATCGATAGAGTACAGTGAGATAGCAAAAAGTCTAAAAGGATTTATCCCCACGACTCTTGAAGATCCGGTTTTCTGGAAAAGCATTTGTCCAGAAACTCTAAAAAGTAGCCAAAACATTTCTTAATGAGGCACGCTTGTAGTGCGCAAATTTCTGATTAAAATGGGACGCCTCTCAGCTCTGCACAACCTTTCTTTGCAAAGTTGAAGAATTTACAAGCAAAGCCCTAAATGTTCATCGTCAACTCAAAGCTACAGAAATAAGACGAAATCAATTCAGGGCTTTTCTTGTAAATTCTCTAACTTTGCAAAGAAAGGTCGTGTAGAGCTGGGAGGCGTCTCATTTTAATCAGAAATTTGCGCGCTACAATCGTGCCTTATTGAGAAATGTTTTGGTTATATTTTAGAGTTTCTGGACAAATGCTTTTCCAGAAAACCGGGCCTTCAAGAGCCGTGGGGATAAATCCTTTTAGGCTTTTTGCTACCTCACTGTACTCTATCGATCGACATATGAAAGAGGGAAAACTGAGTGTATCGCCTCGTGGACTTTCCTCCTCAGTGTTTTCCAAAGAGCGGTCCTCCTTACAGTGAGTACGCCAAGTTTAGCCAAACTCCAAATTCAATGAAAGTTTTATAGAAGATGCATCTGCTGACGATACATCAATGTCGTTAGCGCAAACTAGCGCAAATGTTTCTGGACCGAATAACAGGTTTCCCAAATACCTTGTGTTTTGAAATAAATCCGGATTATCTCATTTCAGAACCATTGAAATTAAAAACCAATAATATATTTGGAATCATCGCAAAAAACTGCGTCAAATGGTTTATAACTCAGCGTGTTTGTACGGAAACTTTTGAATTTAGTTGATTGCTTTGTTTTTTGCATGTGCGTATAGAGAGTTTTGACTGAAATTTTAAAATTTGAAATTACTAACACATGAAATCGTCTAAACACTATATCTTTAGGTTATGGATGTTTCTCTATCCAATGCAATTGTTTTTGAGCTTTGTAAAGTTTTCTAAGTGGTTTTCTAGAGACCAGATCTGGAAAACCACTTAGAAAACATTTTTAGAACTCGAAAAGCATTCTATTAAATAGAGCACACAAGATAACCTATAAAAAACGCGCTTCTAAGTTTTCCTCTAGCTTGGAGACCAAAAGACCATGTGCCTAGAAAATTGCCCACTGTGTGATGTCAGATTTTGAAAATGAAACGTGACAACTAAACTTTTAACTAAACTAAACTTGAACAACTAAAAACTTTAAATAAATCAGCAAAACCGTATCTAAAACGCGCTTGCGATTCTGAATAGAATTAGTTGAAGAGCGAAAAATATAAAGATTGTCTAAGGAAAGTTAAATTATTATAATTATTCAACAAGCTGTGTTTGTAACGTGAAACGGATAATAGAATTATTCAATAGAGAAAAAAGAATATATTCTGTGCCTTTGTTTTCTTAATGATGTTGGACGATAATAAAATATTTTGTATTGCCCAACTTTGTAGGAAAAAGTTTCCATTTTCTTTTAGTTTTTCTATTTTTTATGTAGTTAGTCTCCAGGTGTATCTGTCAAAGTTCAACTTAAGAAAAGAAGTTTCAAAAACATTTTCTTAAACAATGAGATCCGTTACATACTCAGGCTATAATACATTAAATAACAACGTCAAAAAAGTCTAAAAATATAGGAAATAGCTGCAAATCTGCGGTCATCCTCATCATTTTTATCCAAGACCGTGAATATCTATTTGCAGTTATTTTCGATCAATTTTATCCAATAAGACTGTAAAAGTCACTCTTTTCGCAAGTATTCAGTAGATGTCAAGCATTTTATCGGCGGACAGTTTCATTTGAAAAACGTGACACATTTCCTGAACCTGAAGTGTTAAGAAGCATCTCATTTTTCAGAATAGTGTGCACTGTCGAATGGTCAAGTTGTCATATCACTTGGATACAGCTAAGCATCACCAAATGTTCAATCAGCTATCATATCTTGTTCAAAAAATTTGTATACCAAAGTTGCATGCTCTGAAAGTTTAAACACTCATCATCGTACGATTTACTGTATTCATTAAAACACGACCACTTTGAGAAAAAAACGATTTCCATGACCAAAAGAAAAACTCTTTATTTGTTTAATTTGAAAGACGTTATGACATTATGAAAATATTAGATACATAAACATATATTTCACAACTCGAAAGCGGAGTCTACATCAAAGTTAGTCACTTTAACTGTTTTTTTCTATCGTCTGCAAAAAAGTGCTGACTCTTGACGTTAAATTTAAAACATTAACAGCCTGGTATGAGCGTAGAAGCAAGGCTCCGTTTAGAAACTGATGTGGCCGTAAGAAAATGAGTTATATACAAATATCACAGGATTGTGAAAAAACTTTCGCAGGTAATTTTCGAAAAATGTTAAGGAAACGTCTAAGTGTCTTTTGCCATTAATGTCATTATTGCTCAAATATCAACAATAAGATTAACCGAAAATCAGCTTTTCACAACGTCCAGCAACTGTGACAGTCAAACGACGACTCATTTTTCCCACACAAGGTGAGACACATGAGTTTTTTGACACAAACTCTTAAAAGGCATACCAGCACTGACACTCCAAATGATAACTCAAATAGTGAAAAAAGTTCGCGTTCCCTAGATGTTCTACTTCAATCAATCTTTTATTCTTCATTAAGTTCTTCTCTTTCACAAATTCTTCTATAGTTCTAAACAAGTTCAGTCATGCGAGCGGAAAAAGGACATACATTTTGTGAGTGGAAGAACATATCATACTCTGCTTGCTAAGTAATCAGATAAAGTGTCTCAAACGGTTAAAAATACACAGTTTCTCACATTAATATTTTTTTTGTATATCACGATCATTGTTTGAGTTTCATGCATCAAGTGTTTGATCAGAATAAGATTTAATCAACTGCAAGCACAGACATCCACTCATCTTCTCTATATCAACGGTAATATAATTACTACTGCACTTTTCTGGTTTAATTAACAAACTCTCTACAAGTAGCAACATATAATTTATTGCGAACGTGTGGATTGTAATTCGAACAGAGTCCAATTATTCTCAAGTATTGCTGTGTGTGTGCATATCTGTTCTTATTCTAAAAGACTTCAGTATACAACCTAAATTGATTTAGTCAAAAGAATGTAAAACTAAGATGGTTGATCTAGAATAAAAAAAATCCCCGTGGAAAAAGGAAAAGAAAGAGAATGATAATTTGATGTATGTATTCTTCCACTCTCTTTGTTTGGTAAATTAGTTGTTCGCAGATTAGAGTTTTGTTGATGTCAATGTGACCAAAACATAAGAAATGAACTATTCGGATGAGGAGAATGGCTTAGTCAGTCCGATTATTCGGCAAGTATTGGTGAGTTCAACACTTGTTTTAACAATATTTGGCGTTTGCGGTAATATTATATCTATCATCGTTTTCTACTCACCGAAATTCCGGAAACATAGCTCCTATTTGTATCTATCTACATTAGCAATATCAGACACATGTTTCTTAATCAACAATCTATTTGAAGATACGTTTCCCAATCATGACATTTTATCGGATTTTCGTTTTGCTGTTTTGAAAAACTCATCAGTTTTTTTATGTATTATCACTCAGTATATAAGAAATATCAGTCGATTAACATCGTCTTGGATACTTGTGGCATTTACAGTTGAACGTTTGATTGTTGTTTACTATCCATTACAACGGAAATCATTATGTCGAAGAAAAATAGTCAGATATTTACTCTCGTTTATATTCATAATATCCATAATGTTGAATGGTAATGTACCATTCCACTTTGGATTATTAATACAAAATCAAAATCAAACAGGTTTTTGTGATGTATTACCAAAATATCGATCGATTTACATGAACTTTGCTATTATGAAAATAATTAAGGTTTATTTAATGCCAATGATAATTATCGGTGTTGGCAATACGCTTATAGTGATACAATTAACGCATAAAATACGGCTTGAACCAAATCCTCCGAGAAATTCCAGGTATGAATCCATTTACACGACAAGAATCCGTGTTTATAATTCAGTTTTCTTGCGTTTATATAGGTCGTCTTTGATTGGACAGTATGGGCGTTCAAAGTCGCTTCGATCAAAATCTTCGTATCAAAATTTGAAAGCAGGTGTGAATGATGACAACCACAATAATGAAAATCATATAATTAAATTAAAACGTGGGTCATTATTGGCATCTCATGAATACGATCTGTCGAAACGAAAAAAAAGTATTACTAAAGTATTATGGCCCGTCAAAATATCATTAAAAGAAACATCAAAACACTCAATTTCAACGCGTCTTTCTTGTCAGGTAAAGTAAAAGTCATAGAGTATTGCTGACACAAGACTTTTTTCATAAAAATGTGGCACAGTGGGCAATTTTGACTATGCACGTGGACATATGCTGTAGAAGTGGTACGTAAGTCTATAAACACGTTTTTTATAGGTTTTCGAATATGCCGTTTCCAACGGTGAGCTTTTTAAAATCCAAAAATAATTTTTCCTGGGTTTTCTAGAGATCCGGTCTTCAGAAAACCCAGGAAAAATTATTTTTGGATTTCGAAAAGCTCACCGTTGGAAACGGCATATTCGAAAACCTATAAAAAACGTGTTTATAGGCACGTACCACTTCTACAGCAAGCATATGTCCACGTGCATAGTGAAAATTTGCTGCGATAGTGCTCCTACACTATGATTCAGTGTGATCGAAAAATTTTCTGTAGAAAAATATTTTGAACTGTACATCATTCGATACAGTTTTTCACGCTGATTCTGAATATGTTATTATTTTTTAATATAGCAGCTTCTGGAACAAAAAAAATCGAATTTACCTATAAAACGAATGGTTTTTTGGAAAACCTATAAATCAGTCCAGGATCATTTATGCTAATTTATGCTATTCGTACAGATGTATTGTGAGTAGGAGAAATATTCTGTGAAAGTTTAAATCAATTTGGAGCTTCGGAAACAGTCGGAAACTCATTATACCAAGCACAACCGTTTTCCAGCATATTTCGTATTTTTCGTTATTTTCTTTTTCAAATTTCTCCCGAAGGAAAAATCATAGAATCAAATTTTTTACACCATTCGATAGCGCGTTCAACGAAGTACATTTGACACTTCTCAAATCTTGAAAAATCTCACTTTCGTTTTTTCACCTAATGTCCACTTGGTTGCCCACTGTGTGTGGGGAGAAATGTTTTGGACGAGTATTTACTCAAATATTAGAATCGCGAGTGACGGACGAGACGAAATCCATTGAGTATTTTGCGACTCGAGTATAATTGTTGAACATGAATCAGAGAAGATGCACGATCTGAACTTGGACCTATGACGTGACAGATCCACGTCCCAATTTTGTAATATAGCCCATTTGATTTAGCTAGTGTGATTATTTCAAAATAAGTTTAATAAACGTGTCCATTATAAGGCGCTAGTAATTCAATAAGATACATACTTGGATTCATCTTTGGACGCTGATCACGAATATGGCCTTATTTTTTAGATTACACGAATTTTTCGGGGAGAAAAACACAAAATAGTGAGAGGGTCACCAAATCGGGAAAAACCTTCGTGTTTTGAAAAAGTCGAATGATTTTTCTCCTTTGTATTTTGAAGCTTCCAAACATTGCTTTTAGGAGTTTTCATTGGCCTTGAAACCTGAATTAGGAAATGTATTTTCTAAGGTTTCCACATGTAATGTCATTGGTCGAAAAATTCGTTTACAAGCATAGCTCTAAAGCGAAGATCGCGTCGCAAAAAAGCTATCCACTTTTTTTGTGCCAAGAGATGGAGCTCTGATTCTTTCCATTCGATCGGCCTCTATTTTTACTACAAAAGTACGCATCACTTGTTTTTTAATTTGATTTTGTTCCTGAGAAAGTACATGTTTTGTGAATCAGGAGCGAAAAAATGGATATTCTGCCCGTACTTTTCTGTTTTCTACACCAAAACTCATTTTTATGCAATAAAAATATCATATTCGGACTTAGCGTCGAAATCGAGTCGAATGATATATCTTTCGACATTCTTCGTTTATTTTCATATTTTGATGGGAATCTCAGTACTTTTCCGAGGTCGAAATTCGAAAAAAAGAAAGGTGGTCGGATAGGGTAAATACATACATCAGTCTACTCGATTTTTGACGCTAAGTCCGAATATGATATTTTTATTGCATAAAAAGGAGTTTTGGTATAGAAAATAGAAAAGTACGGGCAGAATACCCATTTTTTCGCTCCTGATTCACAAAAAATGTACTTTCTCAGGAACAAAATCAAATTAAAAAACAAGCGATGCGTACTTTTGTAGTAAAAATAGAGGCCGATCGAATGGAAAGAATCAGAGCTCCATCACTTAACACAAAAAAATAGATAGCTTTTTGCGACGCGACCTTCGTTTGAGAGCTATGCAAAACGAATTTTTCGACCAATAACATTACATATGGAAACCTTAGAAAATACATTTCCTAATTGAGGTTTCAATGCTAAATTTGAAAAACGATGTTTGGAAGCTTCCTTCTAGATTTGGAAAACGAAATGAGCGTTAATAGTGCTTATATTCTGTGTAGTAAGAGTTTTCTAGTGTGCACTATGTTAGAGGTGTCTATCGTTACTGGAATATCATGTATCCAAGCTGCACACTAACCTAAATTATTTGTCTTAAACTTAAGAATTTACTTCAGATCTCAGATTAGATCAGGAATCAATTCCGTAAGCGATGGATGAATATCACACGTTCATTTTTTAAGTCCAGGTCTAACAAAGACAGATGGTCAGTCTACACCTGACCGAAACTTGATGATCGCTGCAATGGATGCCTGTTAATCAATCTATTTTGATTTCAGTCTCAAACGAGTACACCATTTGTTCAACCGCAAGCATATTATATTCGATTTAAAGGAGGTGAACAACGAAAAATAGCGGTTACATTATTACTTGTGTCAGTTTCATTTTTAGTATTAAATACACCCTATTGTATATTATGGACATTAAACTATATTCATCAGTTTCATAATGAAAATTTAAAATCGATCAAAAACCTAACAGAACTACTATTGTTAACTAACTTTTGTATCAATTTTTTTTTATATTGTCTTAGTGGTAAACTATTTCATAAACAACTGAAATATTTATTTAATTGCCATTTTTGGCACAAAAGTTAAAAAACCGTATTTATCATCATGTGAACAAATTAATTTATTCAATATAAATATATATTCCTGTAACACATTCATTTAGAGGTAAGCATTTCATAAAGGCAAAAAATTCTTGTATAATGAATTCGTTCAATGATTCCAGGTATAATAATTATTATTTTCACGCACAAACACTTAACTATGAATGAGGGCCATACGCTGAGTGCTTCTCGAATAATTCTTTCCTGGAAAAAGAAATAGTGATACTGAATTGTGTGCTTGCGGTGGAAGTGAAACTTTGATCGATTACTTTTTCATTGTTCGCAGTACAATGCAAACAGGCAAGCTCTATTTAATTCAGCTAACCTTTTAGGTACAATAACATTAGATCTTTTGTTATTAGCAAAACCTTTAAGTCTGAACGAAACGAAAGAAATTCATGATACTATTATTTGTATTATTGATAAAACAAAACGGTGTTAAATGGTATTCTAAAAACTAAAGATTTTTTTCCGAACTATAGTCTTCTTCTCCATCTCTGATGCGCCATTGACACCCCATTGAGCTACAGCTTATACTGATTCTTAAGGAAACTTGTGTTTTTTATTTTCGTTATTTGTTTCGTTTTTCAGTATTTTTAACTCTTTTTGTTGTTGCTTATATTCTGTTTTTCATCTATACCAAATAATGATTACTATTATGAGTGCCTCCTCACTTGCTTATGATCATTACTAGTTATTTGAATATGAGATGTGTGTTCCAGCTGTATTGAAACAGATGGGAAGTCATCTTTTCCGCAAAGAAACATTTACATACTCATGTGACATTGAAAAAAGCCTGGTGTGGCGTGATCTCCAGGAAGAGATCCTGTTTTTCGACTTTATGCTGGTTGTTGCATTCGATTTTTCAAAAGATTTGATTGTGTGTCAATGCAATTATTTATTATAAAATTACCACTAGCAGACATCAGAATGGTGCTACATGAGCAGTTTACATCGTACCTCTGCAGCAGAAAAAAAAATGTTTTTGTGAATTATTCAGATTTAGTCGATCGGTACTTTATAGCCCAAATTTCACATTGTAAAAAAGCGACTTTTTTTTAAGACGTTGAAGTCGAAGGGAAAAAAACACTGCAATGTCTAACTTAACTGTAAATGTCTAACACACTTTTCAGACGTCTTAAGTTTCCAGTATTTTTACCGGACGATTCGGTCTATATAACGTCATCTCAGTCTAAAATATACGATGGGCTCAACTGGAGTCACGTGTTTTTAAAAGTCTGATGGTTTATTTCACTTTCCTATATGCGAGAATAGTCTCGACTATTCAACTTAATAACAGAAACAAAAGTTACCGAAAACTGTGCATTACAACTAAGTTAATTATTATTAAGCAAACGCTTTTTGGAATGTGTGAGTATTTTCTGCTAGAATTAAATTTTTTTTTGAAAGATCAACATTTGTTAAAAGGTGTACATGAAAATCTGTACAATTCATATTATTCATATTCAATCAACTTTTATCCGCACATATCTGATGAGCAAGTACACGAGCGCGAGAGAGCGAAAGTGATTTTTGTTGATGATTGGAATCTCCGCATAACTGTGTTTACTGCAAATTGTCCAAAAACCTATATGATAGTGATCTATATGGGTGTTTTATATCCGACTACTTTGGGACAACGCCTTAGAAATGTCGTCATAAACAAACCAGGACTTAAGATAAGACACTTTTCGTCAAAGACATAAAATAAAACGCTTTATTTTTTACAGTGCCTAAGGTACCGTGTGACAGATATTTTGTTTTAATGGTTCTGTTTATTCGATCCCACAGCAGCCAAGAGTTCTCTATATGACAATATGTGCTTGAGCAGAAGAACAGGTTTTCTTTTATTTTCTGATTTTTCATTCGTTCCGTCAGTCAGTTGCTGCGTAAGAATAACTATTTTTTCTGTCTTTCTCGATTACGTGAAACCTGCCATACGAAATCACGTTCTCTCAGATTATCGTATTTCTCCTCTTTTAAGTATAAACCGTTCAAGACGACTGACTCTCTTTTCTTTCAAAAGAAGGTTGTTGGTTGAACATGAACAGCAATAATCGCGACTCATCAATGTTCAAGTCCATGTGTCAAAGCACACAATCGATCGTAAAATAAAGGAATAGACAAACTTTTGGAAGTTCCTAAACAATTAAAATAATCAGCAGACCACAAAGGCAGTACACTGTTAACAGAAAAAACAACCGAAGAGCTCAAAACCCCGCTGGACGTATTCGAGCTTCTGGGGTCGCGTACTCTTCTAACAAAATCAAAACATCTGTGTCGGAAAACTAACGTTAGCAGTGCATCCACTTTTCTCATTCTTCATCGCTAAAAACATCGAACGGTTTCAAGTGCTTCTCTCCTTTGTACACGCTGTCGTATTTATCAGTTCATACACAACTGCTTCTACTCTGGGAAGGCTTTTAAAGCCATGGATAATTCACGTGTCCAATATCAAAAACAATCTCTTTCAAATAGTTCATTTCTTATGTTTTGGTCACATTGACATCAGCAAAACTCTAATCTGCGAACAACTAATTTATCAAACGAAGAGAGTGGAAGAATACATACATCAAATTATCATTCTCTTTCTTTTCCTTTTTCCACGGGGATTTTTTTTATTCTAGATCAACCAACTTAGGGAGCGTTTCAAAATATATTCCGGTCGGTCGCTATTCCTCTATTCCGCGACTGTTCCTCTGTTATTCCTCTATTATAGAACACTTCATTTTATACTACTTTTTCTATATATAATTTATAGAGTATACTGAGCTTGATTTTCTTTTCTAATTGTTTCTACTTCTTCAAAAACAATTAACCGCCATGTTTTCAAAGATTATTCATTTATCAAGCTAATATATTTAAAGTAAAAAGAGAACATCTCTTTTATAGTTCATTCTCCTGTCATACTGTTTAGGCTTTTTTAGAATAAAATGTTTTCCTTAATATCAGGAAGAAACTATAGTATCACGTGTTTTTCTTTATAGAAGTAAAGATTTAGACAAAAACAAACTTCAGGAAAACAGCGTTAACATGAAGGCCTCAATATTGCTAATATTCAGGAGAATATTTTCGTTGTCGAGATGGTCGTTGCGTCGATTTTGAGACGGATTTTGTTTTTATAGAAGGTGAACGTTTTCGTGCTGATAATGTATTTGACGTATGGATCCATAGCATATGCCTTTCTTCATCAGCTTTCGACGAAAATATATATGGTAATTGACACTTTGGACATTGTTTTGTTTGTCCTGATGCCAGTTGCTGATCTGGCACAAGATTTTCTCACCAGCAAGTATTGAATGTGTTCTTTGAAGGAATGTGTCATAATAGTATTTACTGAATGTCATTTGTGGCCATGGTAAATAACCTCCACTTGATCTAAGAAGTTCAATTGCTTTCGTTGCTTTCACGGGATGACGTGTACAATGGACACATGTTGAATCTTTGCATTTGATGAATGATACATAATATGACGATCGAACACAATGGCGGAGGTATAACTGAAGAGTAAATCGTATATTTCTATTTTCTTCACTCATTACGTGTTTCATAGAATTTTTCATTAATTTATCCTTCAATTGTTGATGACCATCGAATGCATTACCATTAACAGAAAATACAGGTCTACAATCAATCTTAAATTTATCATATGTTTTATTATGCCAATATTTTGTTAAATCAACTAATACTGAATCTAATTGACGATCGATTGTTAAGAATGACGGATCAAGGTCAATAATTACATTTGCTAATAAATCTGACAAATGCGAAAACATTCTTTCAATTGGATTATATCTACTGTTCCCGGGAGCATAACTAACCCAAATTAATGCATCTAATTTGTTTTCTTCCTAAAATCTCCCTAAATTGTATATATTCGCGGTACAATCTGTTTTCCAATCAGGACCATTGTCTGATATAATAGTTAATACACTACGATGTAAAAACCAGTTATTTTCTGTAGCTATTTGTTGTAGATTATTTATATGTATTTCACTTGTGGCTTTTTCTGATGTTGAACCAAAAGGACGAAGAAACATTTGTCCAGATCTACTCCATTGTACGTGTTGAAGGTTTCGTTTATCGAACGTCTAAAGAGAAAAGTGGCGCATACTGATTATCTCTCATTAACGAAATACTTCAAATTCATGCCGTTCGATCCGCCGTTCTGCTTTGTTAGGTAAGTTTATTGAAGTACTCTTTTCGATCAAAATTTAAATTCTAATTTACTTTATTTTATTTCGGTTCCTTTGAAATAGAAACTTGTTCCTCTCTGATTTTATTCGTTAAAGAGAAAAACAGAAAAATGTCTGTTAAAAAAACGAATACATTGGAAGTATATATATGCCAATGTATATATGTATCAACAATACAATCAAAGGAACCGAAATAAAATAAAATAAATTAGAATTTAAATTTTGATATGCTCCCTAATCAATATAAAGAACTACTAAATAAAAAATGCGTCAAATAAGGACAAAATTTAATAAAAGTGCTGCTAATTATTAGATTTGTGATAATATTTTATATCGAATATATATATATACGTATACAAACAAGAAGAACATTATATTTTTTCCTATTTATGCAATTTTGAAATGCTTCTTTAGTTAGGCTGTTCTACCTCATTTCGATTACATTTTTATTTTATATTTTCGGTTTCTTTTGATCGAATCATATGTAATACATGCATATACAAACTATGTGAGCTGACAAGGGGATATTTCTATTTTTTTTGGAGAGTTTTGTTTCAAGATATAAAAAATAAATAACGTGAATCACATCGATTCATTCGGTCCATCGACTGTAAGTGGAATGAATATCGTGTCGAGAATATTCTTCATTTTATTGTAACTGGATCTTGTTACTACAGAATTGAGCAGAGATG